GGTTTGGGGTTCAGGGTTCAGGGCTAGGGAATAAGGGAGTAGATTCTGATATAGGGATTCTATAGGGGTTGCCCTGTAGAACCCCTATACAAGAATCTAGTCCCTTGAGGGGTTAGAAGGGAATAGGGGAGTATATAACCCCTATAGAACCCCTGTATAAGAACCTCTTCCCTTCGGGGGTTAGTAGCGAATAAGGGAATATATAACCCCTAGAGAACCCCTATATAATCATCTATTCCCTTGGGGGCTTCGTCGGGAATAAGGGAATATAATCCCTGTAGAATAATCTATTCCCTTATTCCCTACTAACCCCATCTAACCCCCAATAAGCCACTAGGAAGTAAGCGTCGACGGTCTCCAGCAACTCGTGGTAGCACCGCTTCAGGAGCTTCCCCTTTTGTCGCGCGTCCTGACTGATGCGGATGAGCTTGCCGTTCACAAAGATGGGCTCACAGTCGAAGCAGTTGAAAAGCTCATAGATGTAGAGCCTGCGCCCTGGGCCACTGCGGCTGTGTGGCGGCTAACCCCTTTGTAAAAGCTCAAGGAAGAAAGCGCTGCAACCCGGAAAAACAGACTTCTGCTTGGTCCATGTTGGGGTGCATTCCTCAGTATTTCTCAGATAATCTCTATGAATTCCTGAATCAGGACCCCTCCTGCATTTGTAATCCCCTGACTTTTTCCTAATTGCTCATCCCCCCATTGCCCCCTCTGAGCCTGGGCGGTCAAAAAGGACGCGATAGTTCGGCGTGAAGTCATTGCGATAGCTGCGATCCTCATCCGGATCTGGTCGCTCTCGCAGCAAACAGCAAACCCCATTGATACATGGGGACCAGGCTCTTAAACAACGAAACCCCATTTGTGTGGAGGGACATCACATGGGGGTATATATATATGTATATATATATAGACCTATATGTATGTATGTCTGTCTGTCTGTCTGTCTGTCTGTCTGTCTGTATGTATGTATGTATGTATGTATGTATGAATTGGGTTAAACTCCTAGTATTCCCCTTTATAGCCCCTGTCAACTCCCCTATATAGCCCTTTAAGGAGTTTAGACTATAGCTCGTATGGGGGTTCAGCTACAAAAAGCCCCAAAAGTCATCAAAATTGACCCCAGGAACTGTGAGATCGACTCTCAAGAGCGTAGCGACAATCTCAAGCTGAGCCAGAAATCTTTGTGGCTCCACCTGGCACGATTCGAAGTCTGGGTTCCTACCCTTAGGTACCCCTGAGGGGGGGTATGGAGACGGACAAATTTTGGGTTTAGCGGGGGGGTACATGCTGAACTCACAAAACAGAAGCCATGTAAGCATGCATTTTTCAGAGTAGGGCACAAATGTTCTAGCGAAACATCCCCGGCTGAAGGAGCTGCCAGGTGGGAGATTGCCAGAAGTCTGTATTTCAGGACACCCTAAATCTTAAACCCTAGAACCCCCTGAACTCTAAATAGTTAATTTCCATTTTCTTTTCCATTATCCCAATGTATCTCCTATATAACCACCATATAACTCTAAGAAAATATAGTCGTCTCCATGTTCTTTTCCATTATCCCTATAAATCCCCTATATATACACCCTAGAATCCCTATATAATCCCTATAATCCCTGTAGTTTCCATTTTCTTTTCCACTATCCCTATATAACTCCTATATTGTCCCTTTATCCCTATATAACCCCTATACCCTACCTATGGGTGTGTTCGGCCTGAGGCTTCCGTGCTTCCCGCAGCTGGTCGAGAGCGGTCTCTATCAATGAGCTCCATGATAGTCCCATAGCTGCAATTCGGGGAACTGTGGAGATGGCAGCTGAAACTTGGTTGGTATATATTCCCCCTTAAGTAGATAGAATATGGGGTATATGGGGATCTTGTTATAATGTACCCAAAGCCATATTCTATCTACTTAAGGGGGACTATATATAGTCGTACTGTGGTAAGGTGCGGTGGTTTGGGGTGTGAAGTGTGAAGATGGATTTCGCTTAGGACCCACGTGCCCAGCAATTAACAATGAAGCATCTTCGCAGGCTCCTCTGGCCAAATGCGTGTATATAGGGATTATACAACCAATAATGGAGAGTCAAATGGAAAAGAAAATGGAAAATGAAATGGAAACCCTAGGTTCCTTTAAAGGGTATATAGGGATTATACAACCAATGATGGAGAATCAAATGGAAAAGAACATGGAAAATGAAATGGAAACTGGGATTAACCATTCAAGGGAACCACCATAGCACTAGCAACAGATACTCTGTATGGCTTTGATGCCTTCTCATGTATACGAGGATGACTTGGCGAACCTGCTGCCTGAGCCGCTCAACTTACGGCCCAGAAGTCCCGCGGGCATGGGCTTGGCGTTGAGGCTTTACTTACTGGTGGTCAGTAGGGAATAAGGGAATACAATCCCTATATGAAGTATAGTCTAAAAGTCTAAACTCCTGGCATCCCCCTTAGTAAGCTTTATAACACTCCCCTATACCATCCCCTATGTAGCCTCCGCGAAGGAGTTTAGACTTTCGCTCATATAGTATATTCCCTACTCACGCCCAGTAAGTTAAGGGTTCCTGAATTCCTTAAAGGGGGTTGTAGAGGGGATATAGGGGACTACTATAGGGGGTAAAAAGGGGGATACAAGGAGTTTAGACTATAGCTCATATAAGCCTCGCCTACCTCCCTTCAGGGTGCTACTACTAGAATTCTGATTTATACAATTAATATTACTACTATTTTTACCATTTGTATTTCCATTCTTACTATTGCAATTATGAATGCTACTATGCATGACCCAAAGACGCCATGTACCCATGGGCGATATACTCCTGACCTGAAGGGGTTCCTATGTAGATATTTCTGGGCCCAGGTATATTCAGCTCGGCATATCATACTTCGTGGATACAAGGCTTTTCTCGCCTCCCCACCGAGAAAATTCGTGAAATCTAGACTCGTCTATAGGTTGAGCGCGGAAAGCGTGGGAAGCAGGGTTAGAACAAGTAGAATAGCGGTTTGAAGTGTACTTGAGGTACGCAAGCAATGATGCAGTGGAGCCTCACCTCACTCTTGACATGTGTCTAGCAGCCACACAGGTTTGTTCTCTCTATATGCTCGGGAGCCCCGACAAAAAAAAGAAAAAAAGAGAAGCTCATGCAACGGTTTGTGTGCTCAACCAAACACGCACAGGCAACAGACACACTGCCACCAGGAGGGGCTGTCACGAAGTCAGGATCACACGATCAGGTCCCGCAGAAAGATCCGGCTTGCCGCAAAGGCCCCCAAGTTGAATCGCATGAGCAGTTTTTTGGGTGGTTGAACCAAGTTTGATTACATGAGTCTCATCAAATACTCTGCCCAAGGAGGATCAGATCTTGCTTAATTTTTGGGACGGTAGTGTCTCTAGTTAAAAATACTGTATGTAAGGAGCCCACAGATACAGAGTTGTTGCAAGATGCCCTTGGCTCCGCGCAGTGGATGATGCAAAGGCAATCCCCACTGATGTAGCCAATTCTGGCACGGAGTTTAGGGTTTTGGGTTTGGGGTTTAGGGTTTAGGGTTTAGGGTTTTGGGTTTGGGGTAATTCAATCAGGGGTTATGGTTTAGCAAACGACGTGTTTGCATTGTCGCTACTCGACCTGGCCACATAAGAATACCATAAGATTCCATGTTCTTTTGCATTTCTTCATGCCCAACAGTAATATACAGCGGTCTTATATTTGGAAGATTTTTCTTAGTGGGGTCAGGGGGTCAGTGTCAGAGGAGGAGGCAGAAATCCTTCCTCCTTTGGTGGATTTCAGGGGTGACGTGCGGAAACTTCTTTGATTTGATATGATCTTCAAACAAAACGACCTCCAAAAGAGAACGCACAGTTCACATTTTCAAAGCCCACGAAAACCCCTGCAGCGCTTGCCTGCACGTGCGAACCACGGTTCTAGATCCCAGGCCCTAGGCTCTTACTGAACAAGCACTTTTGGAGCAGACTCGAACCTCGATTTCTCAAAATTTGCAGTTCTATCTATCCCTAGTGACCCAAATATACACATTATACTTACAATGCCTGCAAAGCTTGCCTGTGTTGGGCTATTTGGATCCCCATACCACGCTTTAATTCCCTTAGTTTACATTTCGTTGTCTGGTTGCCTTTACATTTGATTCTCCATTACTAGACTTTTACATTGGGCTATTTGGATCCCTAAACCCGAAACCCAAAAGCTTCTTTCGTATTCTAGTAACCTATAGGCCCTAAACCCTAAATTACAAATCCAAACCCCTAAGCCCTCTACCTTCAAAAGTTCCTTAACAGGAATCCACTCAACCCTCTACCCCAAACCCAATTTTGTTTCAAAGCCCGGCATTTGGTCTTCAAAGCAGGACGGCGCACCCCAGAGCCACGGGGTGCACGCTTCCAACAAGCCTGGCAAGGGCGCTTTAGGGACTGTTTCTTTTGGGTTTTAGGGTTTAGGGTTAGGTTTTAGGTTTGAGGGCTTTAGGGCTTTAGGGTTAGGGTTTTTGGTTTCAGGGTGTAGGGCTTTTGGTCTAGGGTTTTAGGATGTTAAGATTTTAGGGTGGAAGGTTTTTAGGTGCTCAGCTGTACTGAGCTGTATCCCAGAGTGTCCACAGATACAACTATTAAGGAATCAGGACCCATACCTTCTTCTGTAGTACGGTTTTTGGGGCCTAATTCCATAATTGTGATATCTCTGTATCCTCTGGGTATAAGTCTTACTACGACTACATTGCGTTAAGTTGAAAGTGATACATGCTACTATACTGTATCATGCCACTACAGCATACTATTGTGTTACATTGTGTTGTACCATATTCCGTTCCTGTACCATCTTGTATATTTGTCTCATTAATACTGCATTATGTGCTTGTTATACTGTGCTATAATCAGTTACCTTGCATTGTATTGCACGTTCAAGTTGCGGGTAGATTTGGAAGTCTCCTAATATCATGGGTACCGTTTTGGGGGTCCTCATAATAAGGATTATAAACTATTGGGGTCTATGTTGGGGTCGCCCTATTTAGGAAACTACCATTTGGGCTGTTCTGCGGTTCCATGGCTCGGCGATGTAAGCGCATTCGGTTTGTCTTGCGTGCATGTGGGCAATTCTAGAGTCCAGTCGTAAAGCCTGACCTGGAATGGGCCGCTACAACTGTCATTCGTAATCCCATCCCTACAAGCTTTCACCAGTAGAACAAGAAACTGAATCCCCACAACACGGCGCCAACCTCGCCTGCGCTTCTGAACAACGCCTCGTAGCCCTGCGCGGTGCACCAGCAGCTAAGGATGTCGCCACCTGCTTTGCAGAATGCTAGTGGGCTCTTCCCCTGAGTATGAAACATCCCGGGCATCTCCAATATATTCCGCATGAAGGATGTTAATAAATGATCCTAACACTGAATACCAGGTGCATGTCCATTCTTCTCCATCTAGTGACGGATAGCGGATTCGTGCTACAGGCCGGGGACTCCTGCTTTACTGGTTGTGATTCTGCCTTGCTTTGGCGGACAGCTGTGCCGTGTGCCTGCTGCTGCTGACGCTGCTGCTCTTCGTCGTCTTGCTCCTCCTCGTCCTCATCATACTGCTTCTGCTGCTACTGCAGCCGCAGCGGCTACTGTCATGACAACTGCTGCTACCATTGCTGCTGCTGCTGCTGCTGCTGCTGCTACTGTTACTGCTACTGAGTACTGAGGCTGCTATTACTGCTGTTTGTAACGCTGCGCTGTTACCACTACCATGGCTATGCCAGTGCGATGCTGCTGCTGCTCCACCACCTTTCGTCTGCAGCTGATTCTGCTGCTGCTGCTGCTGCAGCAGCACATACCACCAGTAGTGCCAAGGAAAGGGAACCACCTAGAACGACGCAGCCGACATGATACGCAGGTTCCTGTAAGCTAGCAACCTGCTAACCACTTAAACTTTCCGCCGACTGCTTGTAGAGAACCAAGGACAGCATCCCTACCCTAAAGTCCCTAAAGCCTCAACCCCATATAGCAGTTTCCATTCCATTTTCCATTATCCCAAGATAACCCCTATACTTAATTCCCCCGAGAATAGTAGTTTCCATTTCATCTTCCATAACCCCAATATAACCTACCCTAAACCCTGAACCTCTCATCCACCAGAATATGGTAGTTTCCACGTTCTTTTCTCCCTATTCATGACCAGTATAGGGGTAATGGAACTGAAGATGGA